GGAAGGAAGGAAGGAAGGAAGGAAGGAAGGAAGGAAGAGGAGTATCTCTAAAACAAGCCAACAACTATGAGAGATTCTTTTACAGGCTTATTAAATAAATGGACTCTTAGTCTCTTATGCAAACATTCTAGGAAAAAGAGTTGCAGAAGTTTCAAAGAGACCTTACCTTAATGAACTCACTAAGAAAAGAGGGCTCCTATCTAATTTCTCCAGATTCTGTACAGTAATCCAACCCAAATTCTTGGCATTAATTCCCATTAAACAAAGTTGGTATAAATCTTTGTTTATGCTCTGCAGTGAAGGGGCTTGAGAGGTGGAATAAGATGATGAGCTCACAGAGTGGTGGCCCAGTGATCATGGTAGAGCTGCGTGTGCCAGGCCCCTTATCTAGCCTCTTGAACAGCTGCCTGTTGCCCACATGAATAATGAAGCATAGCTGCCTATTGCCATTCACCAGTTCACCAAGATTCAATACCCAGTCTTGCTGGAGTTTGCTGTTCACTTCAGCTTGGTGTTGGTTGAGGGATAAAATGCCAGACCCACGAGGTGGACCAGACCTGAAAATCTACTCCATAGGGAGACTAGAACGATACTTTATTGGTAGCCAATAAAAACTTATTTCTGACAAATCCATGCTGACTTCTACTAATTGAGCTGTTGTTTTCCAGGTACTTATGGACTGGTCACTTAAAGATATGCTCTAGAACAGGGTTCCCCAAACTGGTCAATATCAACCCTCAAGAGTTATTATTGTTATATTATTCATAGTACTATTAGCTAAAGTAGCACTTAGTAAATCATTTTCATATAATAAATGTTTAGGGGTCGATGAACAATCTGAAATTTCATGAAGGGATCGATGAGCTGAAGAGTTTAGAGAACACTGATCTAGAATCTCTTCAAATGCCAGTATCAGATTGATTGGATTGTAGTTCCCCTGGTTTTTCTTTTCTTTTCTGTCTTTATGAAAATGAAGGTAACATTTGCCCTTCTCGAGATATCTGGTATCTTACTTATTCTCCAGGATGTTCAGAAGAAAACTGATGGAGCAGTTACATACCGTTTCTTCTATCTTCTGGGAAGTGTGTTTGAAAAAAGCCCACATTGGCTTTCTTTCATTAAACTCATTCTTCTAAGTTTTCACCTTCCTGCATCATCTCTACCAATCTAGACTGCCTGCATATATTATTCTTCAATGTACTATTTATTGTCAGGAATGGAGAAAGGGACTCGTAACATTTCTGTACAATAAGCAAAAATAATCTGCTTGCTTTTGGATATTATACTGTACAGCCTGACTTGAATAAGCAATTGTCACTGCGGGTCCACATCAGGCAGAAAAATAAATTCATCAATCCCTGCCCTCCAAATTGAGATTTCAAAATGGGGGAAAAAAATGCAAACAATTTGATTTGAATCTTAATTTGCTGATGGTACAAAGTGTCTTCCCCTTCCATTTTATAGCTCACAGATTAGCCAACTTCATAGTTGCTTCACATGCTATTTCCTGCCTTCCCCAAAGTAGACAGATCTGCAAGAATTGGAAAGAGAACAAAACAATAAAAAAGTGATTGGAAAGGGCTCAATTATTGGAAAAACAAGACGGAAACGCTTACTAAGAAGTACGCCTCTTTACAAATGATGGAACTATGAAAACCTGGGTAAAGAGGCGTTGGAATGAACTGTGGAAGTAAAAACTGTCCACAAACGGAGATAACAATGCAGTAGATATGCCATTGCTCTATTTGTATCCTGCTATTCCTCCAGAGCTCAAATAGCACACTCCTTTATCCTCACAACAGATTTGTGACACAGGACAGGTGCCTCCTCCCTGCAAAAATGCACCCTAGCAGTTGCTTTTTTCTGCTCTGTCCCAGCCCTTGAGGCAGATAGCTTAAAGTAGTGTTTTTTAAAGTGTGGCTCTAGGACCTCTGGGGGCCCTCCAAGACCCTCTCAATGGTCCCCCAAATCAAAATGATTTGCCAGTCTATCTTGAAAAATAATACAATATTAAAATCCCCTCAAACAATCGTGAGAAGCAGCAGTGGCAGCAAATGCATCCATTTTAATTTCTAATAGGGTCAATATCGATCAATATAACTCATGCAAACAAAAGCTCTTTTAGGGTCCTCCATAATTTTTAAAAGCGGGGAGGGGTCCTGAGAGAAAAAAGTTTAAGAAGCACTGGCTTAAAGCATCCTCTGCTCTACTGACACCTGAGTAGCATCTTCCTCCTTATCCTCACCCTGTCCGAGGGCAGCCTCAAAGCGTAAAATCTGCTAGATTTTGTCCTCCATTACACTGTGAGGAAAGTCAGTGCTTGGGAACAGAGGAGCTGGCAATGAGGGTGATGAATTTCAGGAAGGTCTAGTTTTTTGCCAACTCAAACAAGTAGGAAAAGGCCCAGATAACTTCTGGGGAAGAAATAGTGAACTGAAAATGGCTCTGCGAAAATTGGAGCTGATGACCGCAGCAGAATGAAGAGCCAATGAGTAGACTGGCTTTGTAATTCCTCTCTGGACAAGGAGAGGACATGAGATCACCCACAAGTGCTCCAGACAGTTGCTCCTTGTGAAGAGACAGCAAGGCAGTGGTCTCTGGCAGGTTTAGAACTCTGGAAAATGAGGGAATAGCCATCTTTTTGCTCAAACTGTGGTTGGAGCCTTCAAAAAGGACACTGGGTTCACATGCTTCCTTTTCTAATCACTCTTGGATATTGCTTATTAACTGCTTTTCAACTATTAGGAACCTTTGCATCAACAGGTTTTACAGCACCAGGTGAGTTTTCTTCAATCCTTAGTGAAAGAAGTTTTAAATACAAGTTTAAGGACT